TGCGAGGGCACGGCCCAAGATGTCACCAGGGCTTTGTGCTCCGAGGTGGATCCTAAACCTGCAACCTTGGAATTGTCTTGGAAAAGCCCTCCAAGGTCATCAAGTTCAACATTTGACCCATCACCCCCCGGCCACCCACACCAATGTCCAGTTGTTCCTCGGACACCTCCAGCGACTCCAAACCCCCCCTGGTCAGCCCCTTCCGAAGGCTGAGCGCCTTTTCCATGATGAAATTCCTCCTGGAATTCTTCACAGATGGGTTTGACCTTCAAAAATTATCTCATCATCAACCCAAGCCAGTTCTTTAGTGCAGACTTGCAGCGTTGATCTGTCCAGGCATCGCTTAAATCATTAATAAAAAAATAACAGGCAGGGGTCAGGTTCCATTGTAAATCCAGTCAGCCCCGGGATATTGCACAGGAACGGGGCTGTAAAATTCCCACACAATGAAAAAGCCAAATTTATGATATGAGACTCAGATTGTATATGTCGAGGGTTGATTTGCTAATTGGAAACTATGAAAATAATTACAGGCGTTAGAGGAGTCACACAGGGGGAAAAAAAAAAAAATAAATCAGAATTTGGTAAGGGTGAGAGATTTTATGGGATGCTTCAAACCCCAGGAGCTGCCTCCAAGGAGGTATAAAAGCAGGAACATCTCAGGAGTCTCATCAAACCTTCTCCTGACTTCTCCTGCTACTCCAGGTGAGTTGGATTTTAAGGTGATCTTTGCTCTCTCTCTCATTCTCTGTAGCCACAGATTGAAACAAGGACTCGTTCCTTGATTTTGGGGGTTTGAGCCGGGAGATGTGGCAGTGAAATCCCGCTTTTCTTTGGAATCTCGCTGCAGCCTCTCGGAAGAAATCGGTTTGATCTTTAAAGGTAGAATTTTTGGGAGTTGCTTGAATTTTTCTGGTGGCTTTCAAAGCTTGAGACGCTTAAATTTACCTAAAAAACGAGTCCGAGGTGTCTTCCACAGGGGAGGGAGAAATGGAGGGAGAATCCTCCCAGGACAGGAGGATTTGAGGGAGGAGGTGAAGCCACACCTCGATCCCCTGCCCACTTCTGGGTCCCCTGGCTCAGGGAGGTCATTGAGGCCTTGGAGCAGCTGGAGAAGGGTCTGGAAAATCCTGAGGGATCTGGGGGGGGGAGGGCTCAGCCTGGAGAAAAGGGAGATCCAGGGGGAATTTCGGGATTTGGGATCTGATCCCAGGGAATGGGACAGGACAAGAGGGAACGGCCTCGAGCTGGGCCAGGGGAGGCTCAGGTGCAAAATTTGGGAAAATCCCTTCTGGAAAGGGCTGGCCAAGGGATTGGAGTGAGCACCCCTGGATGTGTGTGAGGAATTCCTGGAATTCTGGGTTTCCATGTGGGGATTGATCCCATCCTGGACTCGATCCTCTCAGAGCTCTTTTCCAACCTCAGGGATATCCCTGGGGGTGTCTGAGGAGGAATTCCTGGAATTCTGGGTGTCCAGGAGGGGACTGGTCCCATCCTCGACTCAATCCTCTCGGATTTCTTTTCCAGCCTCAGGGATATCCCATGAGCAGGAAACACAAGAATCTCAGGGATATCCCTGGAGATATCTGAGAAATTCCTGGAATTCTGGGTTTCCAGCTGGGGATTGGTCCCATGTGGGACTCGATCCTCTCGGATTTCTTTTCCAGCCTCAGGGATATCCCGTGCCGTGCGACATTCCCTGACTCCACTTTTTTTTTTTTTTTTTTTTCTTTTTTTTTCCCCCAGCTCCTTCTCCAACCCAGAGAACCATGAACTGCATCAGCTCCCGGTGCCTGCCCGGCTGCGAGGTGGCGTGTCCTGAGCCCTGTGCCTACAGCAGAGGCCTCGGCCCCTGCGTGGCCTCCTGTGGCGACTCCACAGCCCTGGTCTATGCCCCTCCCGTCTGGATCACCTTCCCCGGCCCCATCCTGAGCTCCTGCCCCCAGGAAAGCATCGTGGCATCCTCCATGCCCCAGCCCTCTTCAGGGATGGGGGGCTACTCTGGTGGCCTGGCAAGAATTGGGGGCTCCTATGGGTCTGGGGGCTCCTATGGGTCAGGGGGCTCCTATGGGTCTGGGGGTTCCTATGGGTCTGGGGGCTCCTATGGGTCAGGGGGCTCCTATGGATCTGGGGGTTCCTATGGATCTGGGGGTTCCTATGGGTCTGGGGGCTCCTATGGATGTGGGAGCTCTTCTGGGGGCGTGTCAGGGAAGGGGGGCTCCTCTGGATGTGGGGGTTCCTCCCCGGGGGGCTGCTACCTCAGGAGGTTTTACAGCAGCAGCAGCCGCGGATCCCGCCTGGGATACTGAGGAAGATGAAGATCGGCGGGCCCGGGAGAGAAATCCTCCAGATCCGCAGCTGGGATCGGCTTTTCGGAGAAAAAAAAATTAAAAAAAAGCATCAACGGGAGCCTCCCTCGCTCAGGAACTCTGGGAACTGGGCCCTGCATTTCCCCTTCATCTTTAATTAGCAGCCTCTGATAATCACCTTTCCGTGCCACCTCCTTCCTTCCACTGCGCCAAGAGAAGGAATAAAAAAACAACAAAAAAAGAACAGCTTGAAAGGCCTGGCACCGAGTTTGTCAGCGCAGCCCTGAGAGGAGAAGAACGAAGGGTGGATTCCTCTTGGACAGCGGAGCTGAAGGGAGGAGTGGCTGTTTGGTGTCACCCCGTAGTGTGTTAAAATCCTATTAAAAATCTTCCTGCATCATCACGTTTTGCTGGGGTTTCCTTTTCTCCGCGGCGCCGTTTCGGTCCCGTCCTTTCTTCTGCCTCGAGCTGGTTCAGCAGAGCAGCAATCACGGGTTTATGATAATTGGGCGGTAATTGTTTAAGTAATTGGGGTTGTGAAAGCGAGGGGTGGGATGAAACATCCGAAATTTCAGCGCCAAGGAGTTGGGTCGTTCTGTGGGGGGACACAAAGGTGACAACTCTGAGCTGCAAGGGCGAGCGAGTGAGGGGTGGGATGTGTTTGGCTGAAGGCTGGAAAGTCAAAATGGTTTTTTTTTTTTAATTTTACACCCTGGTTTCTCTCAGCTCCTCCCTCCTCAAGGATTCTGCCCGTCCCTGGGATCGGTAAAATCCAATCCTTGAGGCTGGAAAAGATCTCCGAGGTCCATCGAGTCCAATTTTTGGTCCATCTCCGCCTCCCACCAGAGCAGTGGCCACGTCCAGGAATTCCTCGGACCCCTCCAGGAGTGGCCACCCCAAACCCCCCTGGGCAGCCCCTTCCGAAGCCTTTTCCCTTTTCCAGGAGGGATTTTTCCCAAATTTCCCACCCTGACCCAGCTCGAGGCCGTTCCCTGGGAGCAGAGCCCAGCTCCATCCATTCCACCGCCGTATTTAGAACCGGTTTTTAGGAATTATCTTGATTCCCTGCAGACCTCCGAGGTTTAGGAAACCCCAGCAGGTTTTCAGGAGTATTAACAAACTCAAACCAAGATAAAAATCAGACTGGGGACTGGAACCAAAGGAAATCCTCCAAAAAAAAAAAAAAAAAACACCAACTCTCCTTGATTTTCTGAGCCGTCACTCCGAGCTCGCAGTGCCAAAATGCTTCGAGATGTGGAGAAATTTCTGGCGGCTGTGGCATCATCAAAGGTTTTATATGACAGCCAGATGTCACCGGGCTGTGCAAGAGAGGATTTCCCAAGGGACGAGTGACACAAGAGCACAAATCCCGCCCGGTTCTGTTGTTTTCCGTCGTTATCGTCGGGATGGCAACACAGAGAGAGCCCCGGGTCTAAAGATGAGCCGAAAGTGACCTAAAACCCGGCTTAACTCCTTTGGAAAACACAGCAGGAAAAAGCAGGAACACCCCCTTCCTTCCCTCCCCCCCCCAAAAAAAAAAAATTAAAAATATTTTTAATATTTTATATTGAACTATAGAATCTTTAATATTTATGAAATCAGGAAGGGTGAACCGGAATATGGGAAATATCAGGAAAAAGAAGTTGTCTGTATGAGAGATTCCTGCTTGGAAAATCGAATTTTTTCCACTCGCTGTTTAAGCTGAAAATAGATTTTAAAAAATTTAATTGACAGCTCTGGAGATAAACAGAAAATTAGATGACACACGACTAAAGTTGCTTAAATTCTCCGTGTACCTAAAGAGGTTTAGGAATTTTAATCTGCGATTAATTTAATGATGGCACGCAATAAATTAATCAGCTCTCAGCAAAACCTTAATGGGGCTGAAGGAACAGGCTCAATTGGAAAACAATTGGATAATTTGTTTGCAATCGTGGCGAAGCTCTGGAGAGAGGAGGAAAAATCCCACAAAATTCCAGCTCAGCAAATCCCGGAATGTGTCAGAGGGTGAAACCAGAGCTCCAAATTCCCGTTAAAGTGGCCTGGAAATCACTCCAGGATTTAAGACGGGAGAATTTCAGCTGGTTCGGGGCAAAGTGGTTTCCAACAGAAGATTTTGTAGAGGAAAAAGTGGAAAAGAAAACGTGAGGCAAAAATAGGGATATAAAAGGGATTTAATTTTGAAATATTTT